CAATCATTAAAAAATAGATACAGTTTAGCTTCAGTGCACAAAAAAATACCTCTTACTTCTTCCTCAAGTATAGAGAGTTAAGCACTTCACAGAATCTCAGGAAGTTGGAAGCTCAGTAGCCTAGGGACCTCCAGTGATTAAATTCCACCTTTGCTTCTCCAGTCTCTTCAGGGAGAGAGACAGCTTTGTGTGTCAGGTGAAAGAACAGCATGCGGAGACAAGTATCTGTGACACGGGCTCCTGGTCAGTTTCAGATGTGACCAGTGGCCTTGAATGGAATCAAACAGTGACATTCAGAGGACGGTCAGAGGGCACTGCCCTGTCACGGAGTTGCAGCTTCTCACCTCCCACTCTGACCAGGTTGCTAAGGACTGCTCTTTGCACCCCACCGAAAGCAGCACTAGCTTCTCACAGAAACGCAGGTGTCATCTCAAATCCCCGAACTGACCTAGAACAAAGAAACCTCAGAGAAAGTCACTCACGACCTCTGATTCTCTTCTTCGCAGCAATGCAGGTGGGTTTTAACTTTTTTAGATAAGTCGTGACAAAAGCCCCACTGTAACTAATGAACCCAAAGGATAGGAGGCTCATTTTTATAGGTTTTTTTCGATAAGAAATAGCTTTATATAATGATGATATAGGAAACCTTGGCTGCAATCTAATACAGAATTGGGTGTATAATTTCAAACTCAGTAAAGTACGGGAAGTCATATAATAAACACAATGTATTTGTATCCACATGGGATAAGATTTTATCTTTCAATATTTTTAAAATATAAACTAAATCAAATATTACTTATAAAGTTAATTTCTGCTTTTTTTGCTGAACAGTTCCATTAAATCACATTAATAGATTCTTAATGCTGAATTATTGCTACTTCATTAGAAGAAAGCTTATTTGCCCAAATCTTTATACATATAGGTCTCTGTAAAATCCTGTTGAATGTGATGTCGTTTAGAATTTGTGCATTTACATTCTTTAGGAGTATTGGACTGTACCAAAGCCTTAAAAAATCAGTTAGGGAACTCATCTTTTTCTTCTACTTTCTGAAACAGTTGTGTATGAAACGAATTATCTTTTCCACTTAACTGAAGAAATTCACCTATGACACTGTCTTATACTGGGGAGACTTTTACTATTAACTTATTTTTTTTAAGTTTTCAATATTTCAAATTTTAAATGTCTTCTTAAATCAGTTTTACTATATGTATTATTTATATTTTCTATCTCATTGAAATTTCTTAATTTGTTGGCAAAAGTTATTCATGTATCCTTACAAGAAAGTTTAACAATTCAAATGTATTTCTAGTACTTTCCTTTTAATATCCTATTCATTACTTATTCATGATTTCTTTCTTTGTCTCAGTGTTGCCAGATGTGTCTGTTTTATTCATTATTTAACTGTTTACTTTTCATCATTTCTTTCTTATATTTAATTTCATTAATTTCTGATTTTATCTTTTTTTACTTCCTTCTACCCTTCTACTTGCTCTGATATTTTATGTTCTAGCTCCTTAAGTTGATACCTTATCCCATTTACTTTCTTTTTTTTTTTTTTTTTTTTTTGACAGGCAGAGTGGATAGTAAGAGAGAGAGACAGAGAGAAAGGTCTTCCTTTTGCCGTTGGTTCACCCTCCAATGGCCACCACGGCTGGCGCGCTGTGGCCGGCGCACCGCGCTGATCCGATGGCAGGAGCCAGGTACTTATCCTGGTCTCCCATGGGGTGCAGGGCCCAAGTACTTGGGCCATCCTCCACTGCACTCCCGGGCCACAGCAGAGAGCTGGCTTGGAAGAGGGGCAACCGGGACAGAATCTGGCGCCCCGACCAGGACTAGAACCCAGTGTGCCTGTGCTGCTAGGTGGAGGATTAGCCTATTGAGCCACGGCGCCAGCCCCCATTTACTTTCAGTACTCTTTAAAAAGAAATGTGTCATATTTTTAAGATTGGATGACTGATTTGAAATGCAGAGTGACAGAGAGAGAGGGAGAGACAGAAATAAAGATCTTCCATCCTCTGATTCACTCCCCAAAGTATCCCAACAGCTAGTCCGTGCCAGGCCAAAGCATTAGCCAGGAACTCCACTCTGCTCCCACATGAGTGATAAGGGCTCATATAAATGGGCCATCTTCCACTGTGCCAAGCACATTAGCAGGAAGCCAGATTCCAAGAAGACCAGTTATAATTCCAACTGGCATTCCAATATGGGATACTGGCATCACAAGTGATAGCCTAAACCTCTATGCCACCATAGCAACTTCCTATCATACAATTTTTATTCACAGTTCCTTTATTCAAAATTAAATATTCTATATTTCACACTCATTATGAGTACCTTTCTAACTTACAAGTGTGTTAAAAGTTGCCTTGCTTTCAAATAAGCTTTGTTTTAATTAATTCCTTAATGAATTATTTTTGATATTCAAGGTATTCTGTATGTTATCAAATCTTTGGAACCTGTTGGGAGACCCATTGTGCCATTAGAATAGGTCAGTTTGGCAGAATGTTTTTTGTGTGAGTATGCTTGAAAATAATTTAGGTACTATATCGTTTCATGGTATGTGCTGTATAGGTACTGCCTTGGGTTGGTGGAATACATATCACCAAACTATCACTTTATACCAAAGCCAATGAAATCTGCAGGAGCACTTAACTTCTGAAAACATTTTGCTAGAATCTCCCTCTGTGATTGCAACAATGTTGTAAATAGTACTGATTGATTTCCTGTTGTTAAACTACCCACTCAGTCCTAAACAAATCCTACAAGGTCATGATTATCCTTTGTGTTTATTCTATGTGATTTGGTAATGAACTGTCTAGGATGTTTGTTTCTGTATGAGGAAATGCATCTATAAATTTCCATTCTGTCATAAAAATGAGTTTGGAATAGTGCTCTCTTTTTTCCTTTGAAAAATATTTTTGTGGCAAAGGTTTTGAAAATAAATCCTATTTTCTTGATAGATATAAGAGGATTTGTGTCATTTCTTCTTGGATTAGTTTTGATAAGTTATATTTTTCAAAATATTTGTCTATTTCAGTGAAATTCTCAAATTGGAAAAATTATTCACAATTTTTACTCTGTTTAATGTTGTGAAGTTTAGGAGTCTGTATTCATTTTTATTCCTCCTCTCAGTAATTTGTATTTCCTCTCTTTCTAGACTTGCTATGGGCTGATCAATTGCATTAATTTTTTAAAGAACTTTGGCTTTGTGTGGTGGTGGTGATTTTCTATTTTGCATCTACTTTATTTTTAGCTGATATATAAAATTTTACAGACTTGATGAGTACAGTATGAAATTCTATGTCTAAGTTAGAACATTGATTTTTCAATCTCCTTTATTATATGCATCATGAGTCATAAATTTCTAAGCACTGTTTTAACGTAATCACACAAGTTTTAATACATTATACTTCCTTTGCTACTCATTTAAATATTTTCTAGTATACATTAGTATTTTCTCTTTAAAACATGAGTTATAGGGGGTGTTCCAAGATGGCAGATTAGCAATAGGATGGTCCAACTCATGGTGGTGAAATTAATATTTGAAAAGGGGAGAAAGTACACTCCTAAGATAAAGCCACGGGAAATCCCCAGCAGGACACCCAGAAAAACAATAGAGGTAGTCCAGGCCTGCACTGAAAGAACAAATATTCAACAAAAAGCAACAAATCTTGGACCCGGGGAGGAGGACACTAGCCCTGGCAGACCAGGTGTGAGGGAAATCTGTGGGCCCACAGCACTGCAGAGAACAGCAGGAGGGAGAGCTTGGTGAACTGCTTTTGAAGTTCCATGTGAGCTCCCTGGGACAGCAGAGGCACTAAGAGAAAAAAAATAGCTCACCTCCTCCCTCCCCTCCCCACTCTCTACAACAGAGACCTGCAGCCAGCCTGGAGAAGGGTCACATCATTTTTTTTTCTGGACACAGGCAGGTGGCTACTGCTCCAACTACCAGTGCCTGTGCCCAGCAACAGTGGGGATCACCTCACTACCCACCCAAACAGCGAGGGCCAAAACAATTCAGAAGAAGTCCTTCCCCCTCCCTGCAAGCTATACTGAGCCAGTTGCCTGGCAATGGGAAGGGAGGGGAAGACCCACCTATGCACCTATGGGTGCCCAGCACCTTCCAGAAGTGAGTGGGGCTGCAGTGGGCAGGGGCTCTGCACGCCTGATATCCACAGACCTAACTAGAGAACCACCCCCACGACACCTAAGCTGGATGGGAGCACCACACGCAGACAGCAGCTCTGGAAACAGCTTAGCTTTGTTTATAGACAGGACTGCTAGCGGGTGGAGTGATCCCACTGACACTCTACAGCCCAGAGAGCCCTGGGAGCTGAGTCTGAGAAAGCAGTGACTGCATAAGAGGAGAGTGTGGTTGGGCCCTGGGCAACTACAGAGCACTTCTCTGCAACCCCCTGAGCTCTTTGATTACCTAAAGCAGCTCATAGCAGAGGGAACCATGCTCACAGGGAAGACTCCACAGATCAAATGTGCAGTTCATTGAGCAGTGTGGATGAGGGTTGAGCACACCTGAGACTAACATCAGGGCATCCTGCAGCTGTGAGGAGAGAGGCTGGTCACACCATCAGAGGTGACCATTCCTCTCCATTTGGTTAACCAGAGGAGAGCTACCAAGCCCAACAGGGGTCTTACCTTGGATACTTGACCCATCCTAGAATAGTGAACAGAGCACCCTGGCCATATCCAGCACACGTCTCTTGGTATTCACTGAAAATATAGATGCCCCACTAAGCCACAGAAACACAGACCAAAGATAAAAGCCCCCAGACCACAAAAAAAAAAAAAAAAAGAAAGAAAGAAAAACTACACAAACGCCGAAAAAAACATGGGAATAATTTAAGAAATAAGAAAAAAGAAGACACTATGAGCCCCTCAAAGGAACACTACAATATTTAAATATTAGAAGGTGAAGATGAAGAAATTGAGCAAATGCCAGAAACAGAACTCAGAAAACTAATCATCACATTGCTCAGAAGCAAATTCACAAAAATGAAAAACGTTCCCATGAAATTGAGATATTAAAGAGAAATCAAAATGAAATATTAGAAATGAAGAATTCAATAGATTAAATAAAACCTGTAGTGGAAAGTCTTAACAACAGAGTAGGTGAGGCAGAAGAAAGAATATCTGAACTAGAACACAAATATCTGGAATTTACAGTCAGAACAAAAACCAGAAGAAAAAAATTTAGAAAACTGAAAAGCACTATTGGAGATCTACAAGATACTATCAAATGACCCAACATATGGGTCCTAGGAGTTCCTGAAGGAGTGGAAAGAGAGAAAGGATTAGAAGGTCCTTTTAGTGAAATAATAACAGAAAACTTCCCCAATTTGGAGAAAGGGACATCCAAGTACAGGAAGCACAAGGAACTCCTAGTACACATGACCAGAAAAGATCTTCTGACACATTGTAGTAAAACTCTCCACAGTAAATAAAGCATAGAGAAAAGATTCTAAAATGTGCGTGAGAGAAGTGCCAGATTACATTCAGAGGAACCCCAGGTGACTCACAGCAGCCATCTCATCAGGAACCATACAGGCTGGAAGAGAATGGCAATATATTCCAAGTCTTAAGAGAAAAAAAATTTGTCAAACCAGAACACTGTACCCTGAAAAGCTCTCATTTATGAATGAAGGTGAAATAAAGATTTTGCATAACAAACAGAAATTGAAATAATTTATCACTACCTGTCCAGCCCTAAAAGAGATGCTCAAGGATGTGGTGTACACAAAAACACAGAAACAGAGACATCACTACGAAAGGTGAAGGCAGAAAATTGCCCAGTAAAAGTACAAAGAAAATCCAAAATAAAAAATAGGACTATTAATGGAAATACGGCAGGGCAAAGTCGTTACTTAATAATAGTCACTCTGAATGTAAATGGCCTCAATTCTCCATTTAAAAGGCACAGACTGGTTGAATGGATTGAAAAAGAAAACCCATCTGCTGCCTACAAGAAAAACATCTTACCAACAAAGACACACACAGACTGAAAGTGAAAGGATGGAAAAAGATAATCCATGCCAATAGAAACCAAAAGAAAGTTGATGTAGCCATCCTACTATCAGACAAAATAGACTTTAACACAAAAACTATTAAAAGAGACAAAGAAGGGCACCATGTAATGATGAAGGGATCAATTCAACGAGATGTGACCATTACAAACGCATTTGCAGGAGGGGCCAAGATGGCGGTATAGCAGCAGGATGTTCTGAGTCATGCAGCGAAAAATAGTGAGCAGGGGGGATACAAGCTGGCAGCGGAATTGCAAAAAGTTCATGGAGAATGGCCCAGGAGTCCACCAGAGACTGCTCAGATCCATACTGGGGGAGAAATTGGAGGGAGAAGGGGCAGACATGAAACGAAGGAGCAGCAGAGGGACCAAAAAAGGAGATTGGCACCAACCCTCTCCCCACCACCCCCAGCGAGCCAGGTGAGAGGTTGTTGCAAATCCATGAAGCTACAGACAGTGGAGGGAGGAGAAACTTGGTTAACTGAGTTTGAAGCTCCACGCGGGGAGCAGAAGAAACTGTAGGGGAATGGGCAGAGAGGCTGGGCACGCTACAATCAATCTGTGTCTCCCAATCTGAGGTTCAGATGTTTTAAGGTGTGTTCCAGGTGTTTTGAAAATCTGTTCATTCTTAGTTTGTCTTTATACTGGGACATAATCCATCACTCATTGCGCATGGAATATCATAAATTGGTGGCTGTTCTGGAGTCTGGAAGTCCGAGATCAGGGGCCAACATGGGCCAACATGGGCGAGTTCTGATGATGGCTCTCTTCTCAGCTTGCAAATGGTCACCTTCTTGCTCTGCGTCACGGTATTTCCTTGAGGCATGAATGCAGACACTGACTTCTTGCTTCCTTTTCTTATGAGGTCACTAATCCCATCATGAAGGACCCACTTCCACGACCTTATCTCGTAGTATTACTTTTTTTAAGATTTATTTATTGATTTGAAAGAGTTGCACAGAGAGATAAGGAGAGGCAGAGAGATCTTCCATCCACTGGTTCACTCCCCAGATGGTTGCAACGGCCAGAGCTGCGCCGATCTGAAGCCAGGAGCCAGGAGATTCTTCATGGTCTCCTATGCAGGTGCAGGGATTGAAGGACTTGGGCCACCTTCTACTGCTTTCCCAGGCCATAGCAGAGAGCTGGATCGGAAGTGGAACAGCCAGGACTAGAACTGGTGCCCATTTGGAATGCCGGCACCGCAGGCAGCGTCTTTACCTGCTATACCACAGCACCAGTCCCTTTGTGTTACTTCTTACAGCCCCCATTTTCCAAGACAAGAAGTTTTGGATTCAACATATGAATTTGAGAGGTACACAAACATTCCGTCCATAGCACACCCAACCCAGTAAGACTGCCAAAAGCTTTGCTTAGCATTTTAGCCTTTGAACAACTGCTTTGTGTTTTGCCTTTTTCTTCACATACACACACACACACGTTAGGAATAGCAAATGCCTCCATGGAATGTTGCATAGAATGTTGAGCTTGCTTCTCTAAAGTTCCCTTTTCTCCATTATCATGACCCCTCACGTCATTGCTCTTTGCTTTCTCCCTGCTGAGTTTGAACATCTGCACTGTGTATTTTACTCAGCTTTTATAGTTGTTTTCAGCAGGAGTGTAGTCTGATGAAAGCTACTCCTTTTTATATAGAAGCAGTAGTGCACTCTTTGTTTTCTGAATTGTGAGTGAGAACGAATGCACAAGTGCAAGACATACATCCTTTTTAGTGATAACATTATATAATTAGAAAAACTTCTGCTGATGAGAAAGTCATATTGCAGGTGAGTTATTCTTCTGTCTTCTATCCACTTCATTTAATTTACTTCCTAAACTCAAATTAATTTCCTTTAGGAACTATTTGAACAACAAAAGCCTACCTGCCCAAACTGTACATTTACTCAATAAATCCATTTTACTGAATATAACATAGATACAAATGGGGGATTTAAAAATAGATTTAGACTAAAATAGTAAAGAATGCCTTGGATATATTCACCTCAAGTAGTTATTATAAAGGTAGTTAAAAAATTGAAATAAGTCAGCTGTGGGTAGCAAGACCATAGCTCTAGTAGCGTCAGTATTGTTGTACCTTATGTTTCCCTGCTTCTACAATATCCAAGATTAAATGCTAACATAGGTAGATATATAGACAGACAGACAGATAGATGGGAGGAATGGAGACATAAGAAATGAAGCACTGGGGCCGGCGCTGTGGAGTAGTGGGTAAAGCTGCCGTCTGCATTGCTGGTTCAAGTCCCACCTGCTCCACTTCTGATCCAGCTCCCTGATGATGGCCTGGGAAAGCAGTAGAAGATGGCACAATTGCTTGGGCCCCTGCACCCACGTGGGAGACATGGAAGAAGCTCCTGGTTCCTGACTTCAGATCTGAGCAGCTCTGACCATTGCAGCCAATTGGGGAATGAACAGGCAGATGGAAGACCAGTCAGGGCTGCTCCATTTCTGGTCCAGCTCTCTGCTAATGAGCCTAGGAAAGCAGTGGAAGATGGCCCAAGTACTTGGGCCCTTGCCAACCACATGGAAGACCCGGAAGAAGCTTTTGGCTCTGGCTTAGGACTGGCCCAGTCCTGGTCATTGTCGCCATCTGAGGAGTGAACCAGTAGATTGAAGATCTCTCTGTGTATGTCTCTCCTCTCTCTCTGCAACTCTGCCTTTCAAATAACGAAATAAATCTTTAAAAGAAAAGAAATGAAACATAAAAGAAATATTTCAAACTCCTAATTTTTCCATGAAGAATGGAAATTTACAAAACTTTCAAAATAATGTCTTTATTAATCAGCAATAATCACATTAATTAGATGTCAAATCACTCTCCACATATCACCTGAGAGTTTCAACAAATATCTCCAATACAAATACACAAGCTGTATGGAATGGGCCATGACATTTTTATTAGTGTTTCACGTCAGGTTCATGCATTATTATGCTATTTCTCACCAGATTTCAACAAATTGCTGTCACCTACGCAGCATTAAGATAATTTCTTATTGAAGATAAGTAGCAAGAGTAAAAGTACTTAGCACTGACTAGTGCTTTACATAGATTAATGCACTCCTTGCAAGAATTATCTTATTGTCATTTAACAATTGGGAAAATGGAGACAACAAAAGATTAGCTATAGAGGAGAATAAGCGGCAGTTGCTTAAAGAAGTGTGCTTGAATAATCAAACCTCTTCTAGGATGCATTTGCTATCCCAAACTACACCAAATCATCAATCCAAAGCAACTAACCAAGTAAATAAATAACTCATGTTTAACAAATTCGTAGAGAAACAGTTTTGAAGCTTTCTACAGGGAGGAAAATGATATTTGTAAGATGACCATTTCTGTCTTGCAAAGGATGAAGGCTTCAACTTCTGGGCTATGATCTCCTTAGTTGAAGAGAGGGAGCACATGAAAAACCTTTTAAAGGTATTTAATATTTATCGATCTATTTCTATGACAGAGTCTCTCTCACACACACACACACACAGCAGGGGAGATCTTTCATCCACCAGTTCACTCCCCAAATGGCCACAACCAGGAACCTGGGACTCCCTCTGGGTTTCCCACATGGGATGCAGGGGCCCAAGTATTTGGGCCATTTTCCAGTGCTTTCCCAAGCACATTAGCAGGTAGCTGGATAGGAAGCAGAGCAGCCAGGACTTGAATCATGGCTCAGATATGCCATGCTGGTGTCGCAAGTGACAGTTTAATCTGTACTCCAGCACCAGCCCCTCAAGTGGAGAAGGTACAGTAGAAAGGACAAACATTTGCTCATTGTGATGGGGGAGGACTTCTCATGAACAGAACAGTAACCCATGTCCTGAAGCTTCAGACTGAGAAGTCAAAATTCTGTTTAGTAAATGTTAGTAGGATTAATCTTTAGTTATTTAGTTATTTAATATTTAGTTATTTAATATTTAGTTATTATTGGTTATTCTAGATTACATTAGTGTAATTTATGCTTACATAGTATTGCTGCATTGGGGTAGATCAAGATAAGATCTCAAAAAGAGATAGAATGTTAACCACTTCTAGTCACACTATGATACTGGAGAATAGTCTTTGATCTGGAAATATATTTTGCTTAACATTGCTAAAGGACCAAAGTCTTACAGATGGTGTTTTTCAAGATTGATTAGCCCAGATTTTCAGAATTATGCTGAAACTAAATAAACATATATATACTGATGAGAATTATAGGATATCTTGTGGGCCAATATACTCTAATTTGAAAGGACTACGAATATATCAATGTGTGTAGAGGTAAAATTCCCTCCTAAAGAAAATAATATTCTCAATGACAGTTAACCTGGCAAATCATACATTTTGAGTGAGACTGACTGTAGGTGTTGAGACTTTGATTAAGAGAAGGGGGAAAGTATTTTCTTTCTGGGATTTAAGGAACTGGGGCTGGAATTCTGAAAAGGGGGGGTATAATCGTGAGGGTTCCCACTGGAGAAAGCTGTCCGCACCCTATCCCAGCACAATGCAGAGACACAAAGCAGCCTGGCTGATCCGTAAACAGTGAGACCACAGGCAGCTGGATGGGAAGTTCCTTACTAGATCAATGAAGAGGGTCCTGGGGCCCTGGTGTCTTTGCAACAGCAGCATATCCATGTTTATGTTCTCTGTGCTCCTTTCCTACCATTATCATCAAGCCTCCAGTGAAATCCAAGTGCTACAGTGTGGCCTCAGCTCTCACTTCTTGATAGACCGTCTGCATACATCATGGTCTGGATGCAGTTGGCTCGACAAAGACAGCCAAAGCCTGAGCAGCTCTCATGATAACAGGAAGCATTGCTTCAAAGCAGGGACTGGACAGCTGGCAGCAATCTGGCTGGGGTGGGACACCTAACCACTCCCAGGAGCCTCTGGAAAGAGCAGGCTTGTTACGGTCTCGACTTCTCATAGAAATGTAATGGAGCCCCTTCACTGTGTGATTTGGGTGTTAAAACAGCGGTCTCCCACACTGGGGAGTTTGGGGACATGTGAATACACACAGAAAAAAAAGAACTTTTGTAGTTAAATTATCAAACCGTGGAGTGAAAATAAACAAATATCTTATGCTTCACATGTGAGCTTTTAAATTTTTTTTCTTTTGCAACAATGATAAGTTTTTGTTTAAAATGAATGGCTTTTTTTCAGTTTTTCATTCCATTAGATAATATGTCAAAATGAATAGCCACTCTTTAATGCTAGAATCAGAAAAGATATTTCCTGTCATTGGAAACCTAAGTATTTCACTTACTGGACTAATGTGATGGATAGTAAAAGTGATTATATGTTGGTCTTTGTATGTATTTATTTTTAACAGACTATACACACACACACACACACACACATACACGTTTGATTGACTGATAGTCATTACACCTTTTTATTCAAGCCAGTGTTTTCACACTTCCAAGGATTTAGGATTATATCACAGTAACATTATGTACATATTAAAAATGGATATTCCTGGGTCAAACCCCTGGAATTCTGATTTAGAAGGTCTAGGTTAGTGCTCAGAAATCTGCATTTTAATAAGCTCCTTGTTGCTACTTATTATGTCGACAAGTTTGAGAATCACTGCCAGAGACTTCTCCATCTGTTGGATATTTATCACTAAAAAAATTCACAGCTTTTTCACTCACTGTAGATGCTCACAGCTTAAACACTGGTGTCTTCTATGTAAATACAAAATCAAAACCTTGAAAATGCAAGAAGAATTTTTTTCCAGTACAATGAAAGCATTTGAATTTATATTGAGTTGCTGGCCACTGTGGACTTAGCCTCCTTTACAGAACTGCAATAACCCTTGAGACAGGATTGGAAACAAGTCCTGCAAATGCCCTTGCTCCAGTGGCTGGCTCCTAAACTTCTGTCACTGTGTCATCCTCGACACAACTCCCAAAGAGGTCAGCGAAACATTTCCACTCTGCAAAACTTGAGAACCGATACCTGCCTATCCCTATCTGTTCTCTGACCCTTTGGCCAGACCAGATGTATTCACACAATGGGAGAGTACGTTTTCTCTTAAACTTCGAGTATCCATCCAGTCATCAGTATTTACCAATTGCTACTCTTATTTTACTAGGATGTTTTACTCATATCTGTTATCTTATTAGATTCACATGTTCACTCTGAATTTTTTATTTTTATTTTAAAGATTTATTTAGTTATTCGCAAGGCTGAATTACAGAGAGAGGGTGAGACAGACAAAGAGAGAAGGATCTACCATCCGCTTGTTCACTCCCCAAGTGGCCTCAACAGCCAGGACTGGGCCAGTTGGAAGCCAGGAGCCAGGGGAAGATTGAGGAATTTTGTTTTACAACTATTTCTCAAACCAGTCAAATCATGCATAACCCTAAACTAATTTATACTCTTAGACCTAGACTCAGAGTTTCTTTTCTGGACTCTGACATATGAACTTCCCAAGGCATCAGAGAAAGTTCTTCCTGTTACACGTGTGTGTGTGTGTGTGTGTGTATTTAACAATAAGCAGTAATCAAGATTGAACATGTTAATATGATTTTAAAATGTATTTGCAGGTAAAGCCACTGCCTGAAGCGCCAGCATCCCATATGGGCACGGGTTCGAGACCCAGCTGCTCCACTTCCAATCTAGCTCTCTGCTATAGCCTGGGAAAACAGTAGAAGATGGCCCAAATCCTTGGGCCCCTGCATCCTTGTGGGAGACCCAGAAGAAGCTCCTGGCTCCTGGCTTCGGATCGGCGCAGCTCAGGCCATTGCAGTCATCTGGGGAGTGGACCAGCAGATGGAAGGCTCTCGCTCTCTCTCTCTCTCTCTCTCTGCTTCTGCCTCTGCCTATCTCTAAACTCTGCCTTTCAAATAATAAATAAATAAATCTTTAAAAAATAAAATAATATGTAATTACATCAGGGTCTCCCACATGGGTTTCATCTCCTGCTGCTCTCCCAAGCACATGAGCAGGGAGCTGAATCAGAAGTGGAACAGCAGGGACTGGATTCGGCAGCCATATGGGTAGACGCTGCAGGTGGCAGCTTAACCTGCTGTACCATACCACTGGCCCCAACTCTGACTTATTTTTGTATCCTCAGTTTACATTCTGAATTTATCTCTTTCTGATAGCATTTATATGCCTTGGCTTGACTTATTAAGTTATTCATGTTCATATCATTTTCTGTCCTTCTCCCCTTCTCCCTTCTTTCCTCCTGCTTCCTTTATTTTGTCCCTTCATTTCCTTTCTTTTTTCCTTAGAAGATCCTTCCAAGAAGCAGGACAAACCATCCTACAATTGCCCAAGGTTTGTCCCTCAGATCATTAACTTCTGCATCTTGCATATGTGGGCACTGAGTATGGAAAGTGAGAGGCATATGGTGGGGGCGTGCCACTGGTGGAATGCACCTGCAGGAAGCTGGTCAAAGCCTGCACAGAACCACTGCACTAATTACAATGAGACAGGTGGGGCTGAGAGATTTTGAAGTGGTATACAGGAGACAGCTGATTCAGGGGGCTTTGAAAAGATGAACAAGAATTGCCTGGTAGACACACTGTGGTTCCAGGTAGAGAGACACCAAGGAAAGACACCAAGGTGTGGAATGGTTAGCATAGAGAGCACCATGAGCAGTTCTTTTTTGACAGAATATAAAAAGTAAGGAGGTAATGACAAGAGATAAAGCTGAAAGATAACAAAGAAACTCTGGTAAATTCCTCAGTTTCTTTGGAGACTTGAAAATGCCTTTGTTATTTAATTTTATGTATATTAGAGTTTAATTTGTCCTATTTTGTGAGACATTTTATGTTCTATGTAAAGACAAGGTCGGTCGTGGCCTGTCTTCTTTATAGTCAAGCATGACACAGGTGTTTTGATTAAGAAGGGTATAGAGCACCAGGAACCTTCCATTTCATTCCAGAAATCTTCCCTTTCTCTCTAAGGTGCTTGAGGACACGCGTGACATCTAACCCCTTCTTCCCACTGCCTAGTACAGAGCACTCCACATAGCAGGCACCCTGAGACTACTTACTGAAAGAACGCCAAGTTATTACTTAATTATGTCAACTTAATAGAAAGGTGTGGAAAGGGTTGATATGTTCTGAGAGGCTGTTACGTTGTGGAGAGAAGTCAGGAAGTTAAGTCTTTAACAATCTGAAGGAAGATTGAGGATTTGTTTTACATCTATTTTTCCAACTAACTTGACTGGTCAAATCATGCATAACACCTAAATTAATTTATGCTATTAAATCTATGCTCAGAGTTTCTTTTCTGAACTCTGGAATTTGAACTTCCTAAGACATCAGAGGAAATTCTTCCTATTATGTATGTGTGTGTGTGTGTGTGTAAAACAATAAGCCAGTAACCAAAATAGGACATGTTAGGGTGGCTTTGTTTAAAAAAAGATTTATTTATTTATTTATTTGAAAGATAGAGTTACAGATAGTAGACAGAAGAGACAAATAGAAAGGTCTTCCTTCTGTCAGTTCACTCCCCAAATGGCCTCAATAGCCGGAGCTGTGCCGATCCGAAGCCAGGAGCCAGGTGCTTCTGCCCAGTCTTCCACGCAGGTGCAAGGGCCCAAGGATTTGGGCCATCTTCTACTGCTTTCCCAGGACAGAGCAGAGGGCTATGGATTGGAAGAGGAGCAGCCGGGACTAGAATCGGCACCCATATGGGATGCTGGTGCCTCAGGCAGAGGATTAACCCATTGCGTCATGGCACTGGCTCCAGGGTGGCTTTAAAATGTAATTGCATCTAAGGACACAAATTGCTGGTTGACATCTGTTTTTAGAAATAGTCTTCTTAATCTAAGTATGGAGAAGTGAATGTATCAGAGTCCCAATAAATTAGTGATTCTTGTACTAAAGCTACCAGATACCATTTCCAACTGCACAAGTATAATTGTGACATTTCTGTCAAAGACCCAAAGAAAATATGAAACCTAAATAAAGAATTTCAACTTGGATTTTTTGTTTTTAAAATGTCATTTAACATTCCCAACAAATGGATCTAGCCTTGGAAAGCACAAAATATTGAGATGAAAATGTGTGAGTGATTCCAGAGAGGTGCTTGAAATTTGGCAGTTTCTACATGGTGAATCCCAAGAGTTTTTTCTCAATTATTTTTTTAAAGTTTATTTATTTTATTTCAAATAGTTATACAGAGAGAGAGAGAGAGAGAGAAAGGTCTTCCGTCTGCTGTTTCACCCTTCAGTTGTCTGCAATAGCTGGAGCTGCTCTGATCTGAAGCCAGGAGCAAGAAGCTTCTTCCAGGTCTCCCACGTGGGTGCAGGGGCCCAAGCACTTGGGCCATCTTCTACTGCTTTCCCAGGTCACAGCAGAGAGCTGGAGCAGAAGAGGAGCAGTCGGTTCTTGAACCAGCGCCCATATGGGATGCCGGCACTGCAGGTGGCGCCACAGTGCCAACTCCTCTCAATTATTTTTTTACTTTCTTATTTTTTTCAAACAAACCTTACAATGTATTATAATGACTTGATGATTTTAATCAGAGTAAAATGAGCAACATCTGGAAGGAAGTATAAATGAATTCTTACGAACTAAATTAACTGGTTAAATGAATTATGTCCTAGGCAATGGAGTCCAGTGTCAAGGTCAGCAGGTGCCTTACAGATCATGCAGATGATTGTGTGGTTCATCGAGGAACAAAAGATTATGGAGCTAAATCTGTCCTGCAGATAGGTTTTCTGTGGCTTACACTCGATTTTTACAAAAGTAAAGCAAAACAAACCAAAAAAAAAAATGCAGCCATTTAAACTCTAGAGGTTTCCCACAAATTTCAAGATTTGTGCCTTTTAGACTTGCAGCTTCTCTTCTTCCATGATAACATCCAGCCTCCATCTCTGTGCAGCACCCAGCTGCTCCCAGTAAAGAAGGAGGCCTTCCCTGTGCCTTGCACTCCCCTCACCCACACCCATTCAGCTTGCTGGCCTGGCCAATAAGCTTCTGATTCCTGCACTTGGTGATGCTCAGGGGCTTTTTAACTCTTGTATATTAAATCCCTGAAATTGAGTAATATATGCAGTACTTTTATCTGGCTAACACGGATAATTTTTCTGTAGTATGGTATTATCTGACAATACAAATATTATAATTTGTTTAACATGTTACAGTTTTAAACTGATTAGGGATTTACTTCTATCTAATGAAACATGCTTATAGCAGTTTAATGTTATCTTGTTAATACAGATTGCAATGTCTAATTCTTTTTCAAGAAGTCTCTCCTTGGGGCTGGCATTGTGGTACAGTGTATTAAGCTGCTGCCTGCAACACCAGCATCCTTGTGGGTCCCAATTCATGTCCCAGATGCTCTTTTTCTGATCCAGCTTCCTCCTATTGGCATGGAAAAGCAGCAGAAGATGGTCCCAGTGCTTGGGCCCCTGGACATATGTGACAGACCTGGGTGAAGCTCCTGGCTCCTGATTTTGACATGGTCAAGCCCTGGCCATTATGGTCATTTGGGCAGTGAACCAGTAGATGAAAGATATTCTCTCTCTCTCTCTCTCTCTCTCTCTTTGCTGTCTCCATTCTCTTTCAAATAAATAAATCATTTTAGAAAACCCTTTCCTTTAAAATTAACACGAAAATAAGGGCTCTGAACCAGGAAGTCATATTCAACAATATGGGATACATAGAGATATACCCAATATGTATATAATTTCAGATACATTTCTCTTTTGAGTGTTTTTCAAATTACAATAGCCAAACTTGAATTAGGATTAATTTTAGAATGGCAAAATAGTTGACAGTGAATGCTCTTGTATGTAATTGGGAATCTGATTCTCATTCCCGGTAAGTGACTTGGCCTATTGTATTGAATATTTATTTAGAAAAACCTTATCATATCTCAAAATCTCTGTGCAAAGGGCAATTAGGGAATATAAAGGTGAATGAGATGTGATCTCTGCTCTCTAAAGAATTTATATTCTGGTCAGGAATGCAAATACATAAATAATTCAAGACAGCTGGACAAAGGGACTGCTAAATGGATGGCAGGTGGAAGTGAGCAGTCTCAAGGCTGGAACTAGGATAAAAGAGTGTTGCAGGGAGGATGGAAAGGAGTTATTTCAATATTCGGATTCAGCCACTTGGTGAGGGTTAGAGCAGTTTGGGCAGAACTGCAGACCAAATGGATGTTAAATGCTGAAAAAAAATTAAAAAGAAGTTGATATAAGCTTCCAGTCTCATCAATCAGTAAGACAATTTTTTTTTCATCAGCTTACATACATTCTTAAAGATGCAATTGGAGAGGGTTAAATGTTGACCTCACTTATACCACTGGTCAAATGAGAAAGATTCACCAGCATCTGCCTTTCTGTCTAGAGACGCTTTGGTTGGTTTTTCACAACATTGGTGTGGATAATCCAGGCTGGTATGGGTTTGGTGATGGTTGTAATATTTACTAAGAAAGATAATATTCTCTTCCAGTGGGTCTACCCAGCACTGAAGTAATAGGTCTATTAAATACTTATTCTATAATGAGTTTATTCTCCAGATAAAATCACCCAGATTAACTATTTGGTGCCACATTTTTAAAAAAGAAATAACAGTTACTGTTGGGCTAAAGATTCAGTTTTTGCCAATTCTTTCATTTTGATCATTTGGTGACATTAGGAGACTTCACTAAAGACTTGGACTCATGTGGTACCTCAAGAGAAAGCAGTCAGGATTAAGAAAGGTGTGGAGCACCCCCTGAAAAATGTGGTAACATCCACACCTCAAGTTGTAGAACCTCTATAAAATCTGGTTTCTGATTGCATGTTATTAGTGTGCTTGCAGTAGTACCAGCTGGCCGAAAACTGACAGGGGAGAAGCAAAGAGCAGCATTTCATGTTGATAACCAATACTTGTCTTGTACTCCCATTGAATTTCTTCTTCCAGCTGCTTAAATGCCTCCACTGGGCCTATGTACCTTGTTTATTTGTCTTTCACCAAGAGTGTTTAAATCAACTCTTCCCTTTTTTCTTTTTAATTTTTTTTTGTCATTTCTGATATTTTCCTAACCCAATCAATGAACTATTCACTCAAGTCTCTGTATGGGTATTGAATATGATTTAAGCAGAGCACTAGAACAGCTACTGTATGGGATGCAGTGACAAGCAAGACTTAGGCCCTGGCTATAATCAGTTTGTAGTATGGGAGGGGAGGATATAAGGGTGAGAAAGCATTTTCTTATGAGCTGATATTTCAAGCACTTAAACTTTACAAAATTCATTATACTTACTTGCATATTAATAAAAGTGACCATAGAGGGGTCAAATAAATTACCCAGACCAGGAAGGAATCCATGTCTCTACCCAGTGCACACATACCCTTAATCCAGTGGCTTTGGCTGGCGCCACGGCTCACTAGGCTAATCCTCCGCCTAGCGGCGCCAGCACACCAGGTTCTAGTCCCGGACGGGGCGCCGGATTCTGTCCCGGTTGCCCCTCTTCCAGGCCGGCTCTCTGCTATGGCCAGGGAGTGCAGTGGAGGATGGCCCAAGTGCTTGGGCCCTGCAACCCATGGAGACCAGAATAAGTACGTGGCTCCTGCCATCGGATCAGCACGGTGCGCCAGCCACAGCACGCCGGCCGCGGCGGCCATTGGAGGGTGAACCAACGGCAAAGGAAGACCTTTCTCTCTGTCTCTCTCTCACTATCCACTCTGCCTGTCAAAAAAAAATCCAGTGGCTTTTGCTTTTATCTTTCTTACTTCACTGGTAGATTTTCACCTCTTAACAGAGTTAATTGTGTGCCTCTGTGAGATACATTTGTATTAGTCCAGCTCTTGGCCTAGGATCTGACTCATGATAGGCACTCAGTGAACATTTATTTATATATTTTTGCCACTCTTGTTATGATGGGAACAAATTTCATGTATTTCATATATACAGTATTAAGAATATAATGATACTTCCCACTCCACCCTCCTTCTCTCACTCGCACTCTCTCTTCTTTCTTATTTTTCTTTTAATTTTTGCAATGACACACTTTTAATTTGCTTATAAGCAGAAACTTAATCCTCTACTAAATAAAGAATTCAACAAGTAGTAAGTAGAAAAAACACTGTCCCTCAGGAGTATAGACAAGGACTATAAACAATAATCAAATCTGAAAATGGCAATTTTGCTCAAATATATTACAAAATTTTTGTACTCTGTATATTGGTTACCACAAGTCAGGGAAAACATATGATATTTGTCTTTTGGGGACTGGTTTATTTCATTAAGCATAATGGTCTCCAATTGCATCCATTTGGGAGGTGGGAAGACAGAATTAAATTAGTCAAATTTTCTTAAAAATAAAGGCAGAATACTAGTGAGGCCACCATACCTGGTGTTCAGAGATTCTGATATAAAGTGTGCTAACTGCAGGGTGGGTACACTTCCACAAAGTGGGCAGAATACCTCCCTAGTCATCATTGAACAATTTCCTACATCGTCTCTAAAATACAAAGAATGCGTGTTACTTCTGCTTCACTTACTTACTGGTGAAGCCCAATGCTCCCACAGTATAGGTTTACTCACTGTAAGAAAACCTTATGTTAGAGATAGCTCAACTTAAACAGCTTTCTAAAAATTGAAATTTGTGAGTTGGAGTTCTGATACATTGTTAGCACTTCACAATTTATCCTGGTCATATGTGTTGTGCCAGGTGTTGGGATGACACACAAGCATACTTGTGGCTCGATTCACTCAAGTTTCAAATGGCTACTCTCCTAGCAGCCTTGCCCACGTACCACACTGCTTTCCTGACATGCCTGTTTCATCCAAAGAGGATGTAGGTACTCTCTGTTGACTAAGCACATTCTCAGCACCATAAACTTCAGTAAATTTGGCATTCTGTCTCTGAAAACATGAAAAACGAATCAGTGCCTACACTTTGTCTGAGAGCCATGGTAATCAAACAATACGTGGAGACTTCCTCCTACTATGGTTCAGGGGATCAGAATCCTCTTTGTTCACCTTCTTTCCCTGGACTCCCAGTCATTACCCCACTCCCCTCCGGAAGTAAGCAGAAATAGTGCCGAAATAAAGGGGTCCAGCTCAAAGTCCAGATCATCCACCAGACCCTGTGCTAGTTACGATAGTCTCAATCTCCTTCTCCTTCCCCATTCCCTGTGTGTGTGTGTGTGTGTGTGTGTGTGCATGGTTGTGTATATGTGCATTCATATGATACACATTTCTCTCTTAGCCTGCAGCATTCCTATTGGGCCAAATGATGGGGCCACTAATGATCTTCCCCAAGAATACCCAAAGAAGTCTAAAGAATTGAAGAGTAGGCCTGCGCTGCGGCTCACTAAGCTAATCCTCCACCTGCGGCGCCAGCACCCCAGGTTCTAGTCCCGGTCGGGGTGCTGGATTCTGTCCCGGTTGCTCCTCTTCCAGGCCAGCTCTCTGCTGTGGCCCGGGAAGGCAGTGGAGGATGGCCTAAGTGCTTGGGCCCTGCACCCGCATGGGAGACCGGGAGGAAGCTCCTGGCTTCAGATTGGTGCAGCGCACTGGCTGTGGTGGCCATTTGGGGAGTGAACCAATGGAAGGAAGACCTTTCTCTTTCTCTCTCTCTCTCTCTCTCTCACTGTCTAACTCTGCCTGTCCAAAAAAAAAAGAATCGAAGAGTAAAAATAAAAATACCCACAATCTGTTTATCAGCACCATATACCAGCAATTCTAAACAATGTATCATATACTGCCCCCACGCTAGGAGGGGCAGACTGAATGCTCCCTGTGCTCTGCCCTCCAGGCACCTCTAGGCAGTCCTCCTCTGCGACAGGAGGAGAGATTCTCTTCCTTGGCTTGCTTTCCTCTTCCTGGAGTAGTGGGACATCAGAAGGCCTCAGGGCAGAGCAAATTATAGTCCTTAGACCATGGCTTGCCTCTAGCTGCTCAGATCTATTAAGCTGTCAGTTTCAAGGGGAAAGAGATAAAGCAATGCCCTTTTCATAAACTTGAAAAAACTATTTTTCCCAGAAATTTTATTGCATCCCTCTAGTTCCATTCTTAAATGTTTCTACCCAGTTGCCCCTCTTCCAGGCCAGCTCTCTGCTGTGGCCAGGGAGTGCAGTGGAGGATGGCCCAAGTGCTTGAGCCCTGCACCCACATGGGAGACCAGGAGAAGCACCTGGCTCCTGGCTTCGGATCAGCGCAGTGCGCCAGCCGCAGCGGCTATTGTGGGGTGAACCAACGGAAAGGAAGACCTTTCTCTCTGTCTCTTTCTCTCACTGTCTAACTCTGCCTGTCAAAAAAAAAAAAAAAAGTTTCTCAATGAGCTCTAATGGCTAAATTGCTTGTTTGCTTCTGACAATGTGCTCTGTGTTCAGAAAAAATATTTCCCTATTATTTTTCATGTTGTTTCAATAAAATTGAGTTTTAATTATTCTTCCTGTTTTCATTACATTCATTTTTTTAAAAAATTTTTATTTGAAAGGCAGACTTACAAAGAGAGAGGGAAAGGCAGAAAGACAAGAGAGACTTTCCACCTGCTGGTTCACTCCGCAAATGGCTGTGACGGCTGAGGCTGGGCCAGGCTGAAGCCAGGGACCTAGAACTCCATCAGGGTCTCCCATGTAGGTGGAGGGGCCCATGTGCTTGGACCATAATGCCAGCCTCTGTATTATATTCTTACTTCAATATTGGCTCCATAGTGGGTCATTAAAACATTGGAAGAGTCATTCAAAAAGTGAACAAGTAAAATTCAAGAGAATTTGAGGGGGTGATGATTTTGCACATGCATCTGGAAAAGGAAATGCATATAGGAAGTAAATAGCAAATATTTGAAAATTAGACATTACCGAAAAAGTGATCCATTTGGTCCCTGCTCCCAGTTCCATTGTCTTTGAAGCTGGCATTAATGGCGTTGAAGCACATATCAGAGCACCGATTAGAATCCCCAGCTATTCCACTTCTGATCCAACTTCCTGCTAAGGCTCCTGGGAGAGCAACAGCAGATGGTCCATGAGCTTGGGTCCCTGCCACTAGACTTGTGGCTCCAGCCTGGCCTAGCCAAGCCATTGTGGCCATCCAGGGAGTGAATTGGCAGATGGAAGATTTCTCTCTCTCTTTCTGTCTCTCCCTCTCTCTCTGTCACTCTGCCTTTCCAATAAATAGAAATAAATCTTTAAAATGATATCAGTGATAAAATAATGGCATGAAGCCATGTGATCTCGTGTCATTGTGAAACAGAGAACAGTAGCCTCTCTGGTACACCACTTGGATTCTTTTGAGTGAACACCAAATAGCATTTTGAGTAGAAAATTGATTAATTTTATTATCAGAGTTAGATATGGGCCAATTACCTATATGCCTAAATCACTCGGTATCACAATAAGTCATTTTTTATTATATATGCCAAAAATTGGAATAAGATACTCTATTTCCAGGAAGTATGTAAAACCAGAGACAAAGTCATTAATAATCTTTTATTTGGAGACAAGAATGAGTCATTGGAAAACCTGGCAAATGGCACCTTTTAGATGTTTCATATTCTCAATAGCATGTGATGTGATTGAGCAGTCAGCATCCCCTGGGCCTGCTGGGAAATGCTGCACTTTACAGTGAGATGAAAGCATTTCTTATGCAGAATGTAGATCAGCTTTTGGCAAATACACTTTAAATAAGGAAAAATATCCACTGACTTCTTATTTTGCTTCTCCCTGAAAACACATTACAGGAGGGAGATTTCTCATTTAGATTACACCTGTTTTGTGAGCTATGAGGTAGACAGGAAATGGTGCGTGGGGGTCAGAGCTGAAGGCGCCCCAGCTCTGTGTGCAGCAAAAACCAGCTTTACTAGAAGCAGAACAAGAGGCTGCGCAATGCCGGTCCCCATGCTGTGTGTTCACAGGAAGCAGGTGGCAGTCACCAATGTACCTCCTGATCCTGATGCAGTGTTGAAAGAAATTGTGAAACCTGTGACTATGATTCTATTGCGATCCTGAGAGCATGTCTTTTCAGCCTGCTGTTCAGAGAAATAAGCAGCCACTGGGAGACTCTCTCAATAGGTAAGCTGGCCATCTCAAGGGCAGAAGGGCTTTACAAGGAGTGGTGAATTCAAGGTTAAAATGAAGACCATCTCCACAATGTTAAGTGACTTGCTCAAATGGAATGTTTCAGCATTATTGTCATTGCCTGAACAGGTTGAATCTAGCATCCCAAGATAAGATATAACTTTTAATGTTTAGGAAAATATATCATACTATGATGTTAAGAAGACTGAATTATGGTGAAGGCAGCTTGACATCAGGAATTTGGATCTTTCTCAGAATTTGATGAGTTTTATTTTCCCATCAGAACAATAAATAACAGACAATTGAGCACCTTCTAGAAATACATCTAGATGTCACAGCAGAATATAAATTCTTATATCTATACAAGACACTGTATCCATAACTATAGAGTAAATAATTAATCCATTTCCTGCAGTCTCTCAAGGTAAAACATTCAGCCTTCCAGCTTTGGATATGGCATTCCAGAATGGTATGTGACAGGATGTTAAAGTCACCTCACTGGAATATCTCTCCATCTTTCCCGGGATCTGCTTGGGTGTTTATATCATAATTATCTCAGAGACTCACCAAACCCTTGATCCCATTTTTAAAGAACTATATTGGTACATTAGAATTTTCTACTTTAATTTTGCAAAAGACTGAAGAAAATAAAGCAAGTGGCTGTGCATCATGACTGGTATTTCAAGGTATTTTCGTTGTAGAGTCAAGTATCCAGGTATCACTACTTTGGTGAAAGATAAAAACCTGTATAGTCCTTTAAATTGACAAGAAACAAGAAATATTGATCTTTAAATATTATATCTTATATTTACATTTTTTTTTTTTTGCCAGGCAGAGTGGACAGTGAGAGAGAGACAGAGAGAGAAAGGTCTTCCTTTTGCCGTTGGTTCACCCTCCAATGGCCGCCGCGACCGATGCCCTGTGGCCGGTGCACCACGCTGATCCGATGGCAGGAGCCAGGTACTTCTCCTGGTCTCCCATAGGGTGCAGGGCCCAAGCACTTGGGCCATCCTCCACGGCACTCCCTGGCCACAGCAGAGAGCTGGCCTGGAAGAGGGGCAACCAGGACAGAATCCGGCGCCCCAACCGGGACTAGAACCCGGTGTGCCGGCGCCGCAAGGTGGAGGATTAGCCTAGTGAGCTGCGGTGCCGGCCTATTTACATTATTTAAAGGATATTTACAGAGTGCTGTTTTTGCACTGATACCCATGAAAAGTTTGCTGATACTAAGATTAAAAGGGCACAGTTTCATTCTACTTCAAATCTAGATAAACATCACAAAAAATGACATTGAGGTTTAGAATAAAATGCTCCTGGTAATAAAACAGGTGACCCTGTTGTCTTTTTACAAATACTGTTGGGAAACTTATCAGATAATCCGGAGAAGATGGGGGAGAGGGCTCCAAGAAGTCAAAATTTGAAGATCCTGTGTTTCAAGTCAACTTCCGTTCTTCTGTGTCATCATAATTTATTAGGATGATTTAAATTATTTATATATATATAAAGATCAGTATTTTTTAGATTGTTATATAATGAAATATTTTGTATCATTTAGGCTAGCTAAATTGGAATCTTTTTGCTTGTATGTTTTAATATCTAATATTATTGCTTATTGCAATGGCAATGCTTCCTATTCTCATTGTCTATTGAAACTTGGAATTTCATAATCATGCTGTTAAATTCTCACTAGGATAATAATTGTTATGCATCTTTATGTCCCTATGCAGACCATTTTTATTGCATATGTCTTCATTTCAGTAATGCAAGGGTAAGCATTTGTTTCCAATACAATTGCAAGCTGTTCTTAATGTAAACATCAGTATTCCATCAGCTTTACAAATCCACAAGCAACAGCACTTTCGTGAGCATCAGCATTCTTATCTCTATTCCCCCAGGGAATACATTTTCACTTTGATAATTTTACCTATATTTTTAGAATGAAATGTATGCTTCTCTCACATTGGAGTGATTGGAGTGATGAGGAGTATGCTCATTTATCATTAAGCAGGCAGTCTGTTTAAGGAAAAAGAGAGGGGGAAAGCATAAGACTCTATTATCAAACTCAACTTCTTATAAGAATTTTCCAGCATTTTAAAAAAGATTGATTGATTGATTGATTTGAAAGGCAAAGTGACACAGAGTGGGAGGACATGAGACAGAGAGACAGAGAGAGAGATCTTCCATCCACTGGTTCACTCCCTAAATTCCCACAACAATCAAGGCTGAACCTGCCAGAAACCAGGAGCCAGGAACTCCACCCGGGTGTCCCATGTGGGTTGGCAGGGATCCAAGCACTTGAGCTACCATCCACTGCATCCCATGCATCTTAATAGCAAGCTGGATCTGAATCAGAAGAGCTGAGACTAGAGCTGGCACTCTAACATGTGGGTCACCCAAATGGCAGTTTAACTCATTGCACCACAAATACTTTCCAGTATTTTTAGTCAACCAAAGAGGAATCATTTCATCTCTGTCCTTGGTAACATTTCAACACACATGCATTTTATGTAGTGGAACAAGGAGTAGAGGGGAAAACATATTTTTTCTTCCTGCCAAGTGGTCAGTCTAGTTGTTGGTTCTACCATTACTTTAGTGTCTGAGTGAGGATCAAAGGAATTAACCAAGATGGGGAGCAACAGGTGAATTAGTATGGAAGCCACTTGTTCTCTTTTTACTGTTTTGTACATTTGAGTCTAATGTTGTTTGCTTGCCAACAAACCATGTTACTGACACCATCACCCTCCACTAATGAATAAGCATGATTTAACAAGAACATACTATATGTAAATAAGTGTGCTAATTATATATATTGCTTAATTTAAATCAGTTGTAACATCCACTTCAGCTATTAGGTCACTGAGGCTCACAGAGCTAAGTAACTTACCTTTGGTGATATGACAATGACAACACAATATGAAGCTTGAATTTCAACACAGGCCTTGGAGACTTCAAAACCTTAATTAAGGTAATATGAGAAACCATTTTCCTATACCTTTATATTACTCTGTTCTACAACAGAATTTTTTTTTGCAAGTCCTTCAAGAAGAAAAGCTACACACTTTCTTCCAAGCATCATTAACTAGCAAGAAGTTTTATCTCTTTATGAAGTACATAGGAAAACATGGATCCTTTTGCTCAAGGAACTTGGGATCTGAGAATACAGATTTTAGAGATGCAAAATTAATCATAACAGCAAAAATCTGTTAAGCATCACAAAAGAAGTACAGATAGAGTTAATTTGATACCGAATTAACTTCCAGCTGGAGAGATCAGAAAACTGTCTTGAATACAGGCCAGATATAACCTAACTTAGAAAAAAAGAAGTGGAGATGCACACTGGCAAAGAAAACACGGATACTCACGCACAATTATTCATTTGGGGAGATTTCCCTAGCCTCCACTCACAGGGCTGGTGATAATGTATGTCTGTGAGCAAGCTATATTCTCTCTTTGAACATGTCCTCTGTAAATGAAAAGAAATGACATTGAATACTCACTCTATGTTCAGATGACAATTGGATTAAGAACCAAAGAGAAAAGCAATCCATGGGAGGGGAGAGAAATCTGCTCTCTTCCAAAAAGTTTATGGAAAAGTTGAATTAAGAGGTAAATTTATTTGTTTTTGTTTTTGTTTTTGTTTTGCCATAGTGTCTTGGCTTTCCATGCCTAACATACTCTCATGGGCTCTTCAGCCAGATCCAAATGCCTTAAGGGCTAATTCTGAGGCCAGAGTGCTGTTTAGGACATCTGCCATTCCATGAGTCTGCTGTGTATCCCACTTCCCATGTTGGATCATTCTCTCCCTTTTTTGGGTGCAAAACAAAAGGAAATCCTTGCCAATCCTTGCCATTTTTTCAATAATATGCATTTTCCATGAGCTTTTTGAAGATTCTACAAATGCCTGTATTTCAATTTTCAGTTTTGCACAAAAGTCAATTTATTTGGTAATTTCATTTCCCAAGAACTGTTTGATGAACCCTAGTGTACACCTGAGCAACTGTTGCAGAGGGAGGGTGAGTGGGCTTGAAAGAGCTGAACGAAGATGGAAGCTCTTCCACAAACTTAGAAGACAGGTCTTGGGAAGAGCTCTCACATAGCCAGTTGATGATAATGCTTGATGTCTATCTTACCCCTCTACCTTTTGGCAAACCGTACTCATAGCCATCATTTCACTAACAGTTTACATAGCAAAAGGTGGCAGCAAGCTGCTCTTCAAATTCAGACTACTTTGAAAGAAACTTTATTTCAAAGGAACAGAGAGAGACTGAGATCTCCCATCTGTTGATTCACTCTCCAAATGCCCACAGCAGCCGGGGTTGGGCCAGGCTGAATCCAGGAGACAGGAACTCCATTTGGGTCTCCCAGTTGCTGCTAGGAACCCAACCATTCGAGCCATACCACCTGGAGATTCTGAAAGTTCACATTAGTAGAAATCTGGAATCTGGGGGTGGAGCCTGGACCGGATACCAGGCACTACCATAGGGGAAGCAGGCACCCTAACCACTGCACCAAAGTCCACCATCCAGCTACTTCTTGGGGCTGCTTGGTAGGCTGCCTGGACTCAGGTGACGTCCACCCACTGGAATTCCAGGGGAGATTCCCATGATGTCACAGTTTAAGAAATATAGATTACATGCCAAGCACAACACTGACACACAGTTGATGTATAGTATATGTCTACTGATAATCTGGGAAGATGTCATTGGGCCAAGCCAAGGGAATTTTCCAAATCATCTCACACATCTTTTTCTAGTAGCAAGTCAGGGGAACTTGCTGGAAATTGGAGATGCTGTTCCCAGAAGTTATTCTTGTCACATTTTAGTGACAGTAAGTTTCCCCTGAAAATTGTACAGTAAAGCCATAAAAGTAGACACTGAACCAAAGAACAATAAAGTATTCACTAATGAAAGTATGCAGACTATATTCTTAGAACAGTGCAAATGAAATAACACTAAGAGGAAAGTAAAACAAAAATTATATACACTATAATTATTTAAATAGCCATATGTGGAAAGATTTACAATAGACCTAAGATGAAAATAGTTATTTAGGTAAAGAGAATAAAGATAATACCTTGTAAAGCTGATTTAGTGATGAATTATTTTTCTAATGAAAATATCATTATGCTTTTTCCTTATTGTTATATCTTCAAGCCATACAGATAATATAAGAACTCCTTGTATGATCTCACTTCCAAAAGAGGTAATGATTTTCAGCAGGTTACTGGAATACTTCCAGATTTTTAATTCATTTATAAGCATTCTCACACATATTTCTCCATAAGCAGGACCACATTCTGCATTCTGTTTTACAACCAGATTGTTTTTAATATTAATATTAATAGTTTCTTATGACAGTAGAAACAATATAAGCTTATAAAGTCTCAAAATAATAAAGGATAAGTAATCCATTTGGAGAGAATTCTAGAAATCAAATACAGATGACAGACATGGTCTTTTCCTTAATTGCCATCGAGAGTGCTCCCAGGTGCTGCCCAACATTTCCTCACACGCAGCAGTCCCACAAGAAGGCCTTGCCCTCCACACGCAGAGGGAGGGCAGTAGAGGAATTCTGATGATGTGAAGGGAAGGGAATGCGACTTCAGCCCCATCTGTCATTTTGTGCCTGAGCTGTCAAGACAAGGCCCAGTGGACAAAAGGAAGAAAAAGTCACCTCTCTTTAATTAACTGGATGTGGAGCCCCAGGAATCCATAGGCGACCCTCAAAGAGGCAGCAGGTGAAATCTTCCCCAGGTGTGCGGCAGACCCCCTGGCTTGGATTTGATTGTCCGAGTTCACACCCTACTTTCCAAGGAGAACTCTAACCCATGTCGCCCGCACCTCCCCTCTGTGTGCCTCCTCCCCCGGGGACGTTTCTCAGCTACAGGAGTTTATTACTCATTATCCTTATGTCATTCTGGCTAATAGGACTGAGGGCTTTCTGAGGTCATGTGGCAGTGCTGCTCCGTCTTAGAACCAGGCATGCTGGAAAACTGCAGCTACTAGAGTAATGAAGAAACGTGAGATTATGCAGCTTGGCCTGTGACATGCCCTTGGAGACCAGATTCTTGGGAATGAAGGCTTAAGATTTCTTAGGAATTCTTGATCCTTAGATGGAACAGTGTTATTGAATATCCTCAGATTATTAGAACTGCAATTTTCCACACAGGATCCATGGGCGTGGGGTCCTACACATACTCCTGTAAGCACCTGTGTTTTTCTGAAGTGAAAGTCTGATGCACACATCAGGTTGTTAAAAGTACATATGATGCCTAAAATGTAAAAATCCCTTCCATCATCATTCCTAGATCTACTGGAGCAAATATTGAGGGTGCTGTGGCCAGATTCCCTTAGCTATTGCTTTCATGTCTCAGCATACTCTTGCCTCAATTCCAGTGTGCTTTTGCCTTTAGAGCCTCACACCCGTGACTTGATGATTCTGAGCAGCCTTGCAGAAAGCAGACTCTCGGGAGCTTGCCCTCTACCCTGGGCAATGATAGGGGATTTCAACTCAATCTTATCAAGGAGGCATGTACCAATGCCAGTGCACTTGGTAAAGTGATAAGAATAAGTACATAACCGATCAAAAAGATAGGGTAAGTGTCGAAGAGATTTCACAAATAAGACCAGTGTCTGCAAATAATGAAGGATAGAATTAAAAGGGAGGCCGGCGCTGCGGCTCACTAGGCTAATCCTCCACCTTGCAGCGCCCGCACCCTGGGTTCTAGTCCCTATCGGGGTGTTGGATTCTGTCCCGGTTGCCCCCCTTCCAGGCCAGCTCTCTGCTGTGGCCAGGGAGTGCAGTGGAGGATGGCCCAAGTACTTGGGCCCTGCACCCCATGGGAGACCAGGAGAAGCACCTGGCTCCTGCCTTCAGATCAGCGTGGTGCACTGGCCGCAGCGTGCCGGCCGCAGCGGCCATTGGAGGGTGAACCAATGGCAAAAGGAAGACCTTTCTCTCTGTCTCTCTCTCTCACTGCCCACTCTGCCTGTCAAAAAAATTTAAAAAAAAAAGAATTAAAAGGGAGAGAACGATCCTGCGGGAGAAGCAGGACACACAGCAGACTCATAGAATGGCAAACGCCCCAAACAGCACTCTGGCCTCAGAATCAACCCTTGGGGCATTTGGATCTGGCTAAAAGGTCCGTGAGAGTCTCACAGGCATGGAAAGCCATGACATGATGGCAAAAACAACCTAAATGAAAGATCCTGGTGAACAAGACCCCAGCAGAAGGAACAGGCCATCAAGGAGGGAGGCGCCTTTCTCCAAAGGGAGGAGGGAACCTCCACTGTATATGGCCTTGACTAAACAAGTTCAGAATTGGTGAACTCAAGGGGCTTCCATAGCCTAGACAGCTCATGGCAAGGGCCTCGGGGGATTGCTGACGTCATAAATAAGAGTACCAACTGTTAAATCAACAACAGGAGTCACTGTGTACATGCTCCCCACATAGGATCTCTGTCCTTAATGTGTTTTACTATGAAACTTAAAGACAACACTACCAGTCGAACAATACCCTATACCTTGTGCGGTTGTGTGAGTGCAGCCTGTTGAAATCCTTGTTTAGTGTATACTAAGTTGATCTTCTGTATATGAAGGTAATTGAAAATGAAACTCAATGAAGGGTGGGATGGGAGAGGGAGTGGGAGAGGGGAGGGCCACAGGAGGGAGGGAGGTTGGGGGGGAAGCCACAACAATACAAAAGTTGCACTTTGTAAATTCACATTAAATAAAAAAAAAGAAAAAGCATGAAAAGCCAGCTCCCCGCCTCAAAGGGGGCAGCCTAATGAGTAATGCATGCTCCGGCACACACTGTGGAATGGGACAGAAGTGGCAGCTACACCAGAGACTGGCTTCTTCCCTTCCCACTGGCTGCTTCCTCACTATCTTCCTGGACTTTCCTGAATAACTCAACCACACACACACACATGGCTTCTCCTTCCAGGAGACCTGCCCTGAGACAACTGCAAACTCAAGGCCAACAGGATGGGTCAGCAGTCTCTTTCTTTGCCCCTGAAATTCTTAAAAAAACAATACTGATCACAGCTTAGCAATAAGATGGGTTGTAACCAAACTGCTGGCAACAGAGTTAGAGACAAAGGAAGAATTTGCAGCAGATGGATGCATACAAAGAGGACAGAGAAAAGGGAAAGAAAGTGGGAGGAATACTATTTGCCAAAAAATTATGAGGATCATTCATTTATTTACTCACTTGGTATCTATCATATTGCACTAGAAAAAGTTTTAAATGACAAAGGTTCATAAAGCCAATACTGTGGTGCAGGGGGTTAAGCTGCAGTTTGTAGTTGCTTAGCTTCCAATCCAACTTCCTGGTAATGCACCTGGGAAGCCAGCAGATGATGGCCCAAGTACTTGGGCCCCTGCCACACAAATGGGAGACCAGGATGGAGTTCCTGGCTCCTGGCTTCAGCCTGGCCCAGCCCTGGCTTTTGCCGCCAATTGGTGAGTAAACCAGCTGTTTTGAGGTCTCTGTCTCTCCCTCTATCTGTGAAATTCTGCCTTCAAACGAATAAATCTTTAAAAATAACAAAAAGGAAAGGTTCCATAAATTATTAGCTGTTTGACTTTAGACAAGTCACTCAAATTCTCTGCCTTCAGTTTTCTTATCTGCAAATCAGGGATCACTGTACCTACCCCCCATTGAATTATTGGGAGGTTCAGATAAAGCAAAGGAAGTAAAAACACATTAAAGTTGTAAAGCATAATGAAACGCCATCTTTACCAAGCATTCTCTGAGTCTCATGACTTAGACCACACTAGCATTTAACCAAGCTATAACAAGCATTTAAGAAATGTGTCTTTCCTGTTAGAGGTTTCTGTCTATCTGGGGGGAAAAATCAACACAAAGGAATAGTGAAATAGCAGGCATGCATGTCGGTATGCAATAATAAGTAGGCAATGAAAGAAAGTGAAAAGCATTTAGAAGATGGTGAGGTCACAGGGCCCTGAGGGAAGTGCTTATGGCCTAGTCACGCCTCTCTGGTAGGAGCAGACTTGTAGGAGCACTCCTCACGTCATTGGTAATGACTTACGCAACATCAGCTTTTTCCTCCGGACTGTGAGATCCAGACGGCATCTGAGTGAGTCACCTAAGAATACCCAGTGCCAGCACAGAGCCGGGGTACAATAAGAGCTCCTGAATGATTACCTGATATGAAATAGACGTTTTCAGGAAGGTGGCATTTGGGTGGACAATTGGAAAATATGTTGCATTGCGAATGAAAGCAGAAACAATGGCAAAAACTTCAGACTCAAACAGGGTTGGTGCTCAGCATAGTAACAGAGAAAATGAGAAACCTAAGAGTCCTTTTTAAAAGGACTCTTGACTGCCAATGTGGTCGTTAGGTGTTTTCCCATTGGGGAGTCGCTGTAGGTTTTGCGGCAGAATCATAAGTGGAGTCAGCGCAATTGGAAGAACTTTCTGGCAGCAGTATGGGGCATATACTGTGAGGTAAAAATCAATGGGATGGATCCCAGTTGGAAGGCTGGTGCGACAACTATGAGGCATGAGGAGCTGAAGAGTAAGACAAGAGAGCAACAGCTGGCCACAGGCACAAATCATCTCCATGGTCACCTACCCTTGTCTCCAGCTTCCCTTTCATAATTCAACCAGAAATCAATTTTTTGATTTTGAGGAATACAACCTCAGTTCTTCACTATTTCCCAATGAGTGGCTTGGCAAAGAATAGATTTACATAGGACTAGAAGCTAGACTCTAACTATCCATCTAATGTATTTATTCAGAGGTTTCCATTTAGGTCGTGTTTGGCATGTGCTTAACTCTCTGCACTAATTTTGAAGCCAGCCTGTGCCACACAGATGTGATTGGCATTATTGAATTACAGGCCGCAGGGGCAAAAACGACCATTTGTTTCAAGATACCTCAAAAGAGGGAAGGTGTTGTGGTACAGTGGGTTGACCAGCTGCCTGTGACACCAACATTCCCATATGGGCACTGGTTCAAGTTCTAGCTGCTCACATTATGATCAAATGCCCTGTTAATGTGCCCGGGAAAGCAGTGGAAGAAGAACCAAGTACTTGGCACTCAGGTGGAAAACCCAAATGAATTCTAGGCTTCTGGCTTCAGCCTGGCCCAGGCCCAGCCAATGTAGCCATTTGGCTAGTGAACCAGTGGGTGGAAGATTTCTCTCTCTCTCTCTCTCTCTCTCTCTCTCTCTGTGTGTGTGTGTGTGTGTGTGTGTGTGTGACGCTGCTTTTCAAATAAGCAAATAAATATTTTTAAAAAGTAAAACATCAAAAGAATTAACCTGGCCTTTTGCATGGGGCTGGCAGTCAGGAGACCTGAATCTATTTCTAAACACATCACTAAGTTGCTATGGGATATTGGGTAAGTGTTTCTTCTAATTTTTCTTCAGTGTTCTCACCTTGAAAATGACCAAGCTGGATTAGGTCATTGATTTTCAAACCTGAATAATCACTCACTTAGGAAACTTGTTAAAACCACGCCACGCCTCCTGAATGTGAAGCTTTAGGAACCGGACTCGGGAATCAGATTACTCACAAGCTCTCAAGGGATCTTGTGAAACCAGCCTGGAGCTGGCATAAGCAGAAGCATTCAGGAACCAAAGGATGAGATGTGTGTGTGGTCTTTTCCCAGCTCTTAAAATTCTGCTAAGAATTTTGTTTTGCGATTCTTATCTTAGTACTTATGCAAATAGTCATAAAAATGTATCTACTTTATCAAAATAAACCAGCCTAGAGTTAACAGTAGGGTGAGGTGCAGGGGTGGGTCTGGCCTTGTGGCATAGCAGGGTAAACTGCAGTTTGCAACACCAGCATCTCATATCAGAGAACCAGTTTAAGCCCAGCTCCTCCGCTTATAACCCAGTTTTCTGCTAATGTACCTGCCAGGCAACAGAAGATGCTCTGAGTACTTGGGCCCCTGCCATCCATGTGAGACACCAAGATGGAGTTCTTGGCTCCTGGCTTCAGATCTGGATATCGTGACCATTTGGAGAGTGAACTAGCAGTTGGAAGATTCTCTCTCTCCCTCCCTCCCTTTTTCTCTGAACTTCAAATAAATGATTTTTAAAATAAAAAAATAAAAGTGAGGGGAGATATCACTAGCAATGGAGAGAACTTTTCTATAACTCTTCCTTTCTGCTACCATGACTCTCTGACTGCTCACAGCCCCAGTACTTTGGGAGTCACCATCACCATCCCTGATCATGGGCAGTCCTTTTTTCTCTTATCCTCTTTTGCTCAGGTTCTGCTTCCGATGTGCCCCCTTGTCAGGAGTGCCAAGTGACATCCCTGAAATCTGAGATGTTCTCCCAAAGATACATAGGCACTACTCTTGTTGCTGTATCCTGCTAAGCCAATTACACTAAGTTGTGTGCAAGGTGCCACGTGAGCCAAAGCCACTAAGCCTGCTGAGACAGCTGATGAAAGGGCCAGAGGCATCACCAACTTGCAAGTAATGGGTTTCCGCCACATGCTAACTGCAACCAATTGCCACTGGGAATTCTGAGGCTGCTTGAGGGTTGGCAGGAAATGCTTTGGCCAATTAATTATGTCTGTTATGGGAACAGCAGTGAAGAATGATGGAATGCCAAGGTTTACCATCTAGTCCAAATTGCCTCTTTTTCGTTTTCAGCTGTTTGTTTGGTTTTACAGATGAGAATACTGAAAGCCAGAGAAAGACACATCAAATTTGCACAAATACTGCAGAGACACTGATTCTCCCAGGCAGAGTTTTAGTTAGAGGCAGCAAGTCAAACTACAAGATTTGAGACTCTGTGGGGGGGGGGGGGGGGGACCCAGGCAAAACACCACAATGTGTTGCCTGCTACGCACTCATGTGGGCTTTCCAGATGATTATGTGTCCTTTTGAAGTTTAGAAAAAAACACCCCATAGGATTTCCCCAAGCAGAGTTATCTCAAGACAAGTACTTACTGCATTTTCTAACAGTTGCTATTTCCCCTTTGTTAAAGGGTCAGCTGTAAAATAATGCTTCCTTTGCAGAAAGCCTGTGTCGCTGGACAGATAGATAACTCCGGGATTTGCAGCAGCCACTGGAGCCTTTAACCCCGGGGTCACTCTTTCATCTCTCACCCAGATTAGGCCTGACAGCTGCACAGCAGCCCGCCTGAGAGGGAATGCCCAGCCACTCACCTCAAGATCATTGTCATCAAGTTTTGAAGCGTTTTGAAAATTTTGAAACTCATTTTATCCTTCTTTTTGTTCCAGTTGTCAGTCTTCCCACAAAAGGCTGGAGGAAGTTTAACAGAGCACAGAGACACTGAGTGTTAAAACAGGTATTGATGTCTGGCCCCAAGGCTCTGTCTGCAAGCCACAGGTATGAAGACTTTCACCACATACAACCTGTGGCTGTGGGAGGCCCTGAGCAAACATCGCCCCTTGAATTGGAGGAGACATTCTCTGGCCACATTAGAGTTCTATATTCTCTGCTACCCCCTGCTTCCCCTGAGAAAAAAACGGTTGCAACAAGACTGCAGATAGAAACTGCCTGACGTCCTAGTTGAGTTCAGATTGCTCACAAGTATAAAATAGAGATCACCTCAGAAATTATCCACTTCTATTGCAATCATCGTGATGGTTGACTTTATTACAGGATTGGAGAGTAGGAAATGATATATTATAAGTGGGACTGTTCTTACTGACCTAAAGCAATCATTCCCAACCTTTTTAACTAAAAGACACCTCATATTCAAACCATGTCCCATACCTTTCTCCTCCACTCCCCAACCTACACACATAGCAATGACCACACTTTTTTATATTCATGGAATAGCAAAGCATTTCCATACTCACGATTGTCGGCAAACTCTTATAATAATTTCCAGTCTCCCAGACTTTCTCTGCAGCCCTCCAGTGAGACGCTTCTAACCAGAGGACTGGTTCATGCACACTTCATTACAGGCAACCACGTCTCCTGAAACCCCCGGTGGAGTCTCCACTCTGACAATTATGTGTGCTCTTCATGAATATATGAAGATAATAAGGATAAGGCCTAGAATAGAAAACCAAGTCAGTGACAATTTCCATCTCAGGTTATTATTTATTTATATTTATTTGTATCCCAAGTCTTTCTACAGAAGACTAAGCTTAAGTGATTCCCATGAAACATTTGCTCAAATATTGCAGGTATTGTTGTTGCTGTTATTGTAACTCTATCCACTTTCATGAATACTCTTAAATTGTTGGGATAATCATAGACCATTGTTGAACTTCTCTCTGTTTACTGAAGAGAGACATCATTGAGAATTGTAGTGGAAAGATTATTGATTGGATTAAGAGTCAGAAGAGCTATTCTGACAAATTATATGACTTCATTCTTCTAAACCTCAATTTTGTTATCTATAATCTGAAAAATGTTATTCCTGTTTCTGCCTTGTGGAACAGTTACAAAGATCAAATATATTAGCATACATAAAAGAATTTGCAAGCTCCTACAGAATTCTTTTGTGTTACTTATAATACATTTTTCTGATTATATAAGTTATGATAGTTTACTGAGGAAAATTGAAAAATGCAATAAAGTCGGGGGTAGTTAATACGACTAATAATCTTTTTTTTACTTAAGATACTTGGAGTGTTATGGACTGAATTGTTCCCCAAAAATTCACATGCTGAAGCCCTGCATTGTGTTCCCCCAAAATTTATACATTGAGGCCACAATCCACAATGTGACTATATTTGGAGTCAGTGCCTTGAAAGGCATAATTAAAGTTAAATGAGGTCATAAAGGTGGATCTCTATTCCAATATGACTGATGCACCTATGAGACGAAGGAGAGACGCCGAAGAAGTACAAGCAGAGGAGAAGGCCACGTAAGGACTCAGCAAGAAGGCCGCCATCTGTGAGCCGAAGACAGGGGCCGCGGAAGAAAGCTGCCTGGTGGCACCTTGAGCCTGGGCCTCCAGTCTCCAAAGCACTGAGCAAGAAATTTCTGCCACTGAAGTCCCCAAGCCTGGTATTTTTATGGTGGCCGCTCCAGCAAACTAATACATGGAACATTTCTCTTTAAATACTTTAAAAGAATTTGATTTTCTTTTTTTTTCAGATGTATTTATTTATTTTAAAGGCAGAGTTACAGAGACGCAGAGGCAGAGAGAGAGAGAGAGAGAGAGAGAGAGAGAGGTCTTCCATCTGCTGGTTCATTCCCTAAATGGTCACAGTGGCCAGAGTTGGGCTGATCTGAAATCAGGAGCCAGAAATTTCTTCCGGGTTTCCCACATGAGTGCAGTGACCCAAGGACTTGGACGTCTTCAGCTGTATTCCTAGGCACATTAGCAGGGATCTGGCTCAGAAGTGGAGCAGCCGGGACTCTAACCAGTACCCATATGGGATGCCTGCACTGCAAGCGGCAGCTTTATCGGCTACACCACAGCGCTGGTCCCAAAATTTGATTTTCTATAGATTCACTATTTGACACAATTCTGTAATCAGTCCTCTTTCAGGGGAATATTTAGGTCATTCTCAAGTTTTACTGTAATAAATAAAGTTTTAATATCTTTGTATGTTGACAAATCATGGTTTAGATGCAAAATGCTCTCCGAAAGGATCATAATATAAATGAAAGGAGATATTTATACTATTTTTGCAATTTTTCTGAGTTTAAAATTACTTCAAAATAAAAGTTAAAGAGAGCAAGAAAGAGTCCCCCCACCCCCACAACAGGAATAGAATGGCAAACAAATATTGATACAAGTGTTATCCAGCAGCCAATACTGTTTAGGCACTGGAACCAAAATGCCTTCCTGGAGATTAATATTCTGATTACAAACACCATCAATCAAACAGGGGATCCTAACACAAATGCTTTCCACTAGCAGGAACTTGACAATTTGGTGCACAGCCAGGCATGGTAGGGAAGAATGCTACACAGAAAATATCTTTCTAAAAGTGATTGCTCCGGCATAGAGAAGAACAGATGAAAGAGAAGAGGTGGGCTCCTCAACTTCGCCAGTCTTTTCCTTGATTTTATAAGCGATGATAATGGTCACATGGTGCTATGTCCCCCATGTTATCAATGAGATTTACTCGGGCTCATATAATTGGACTGGGCTTCCCAGGGTTTGCTGTATGTGTGACAGTTAAAGTTAAATATTTACTGGGCACCCATGCAGGTTTTGATAGGGGTTACAGAAATTCATCAGGGAGAGTTCCTTACTCTCAGGACGACAAACTAGTGAGACAAACACATGGAAGGGGAAAGAGTGAACTACCATAAAGACGGAAGGAAAGGACTCTTAATGGTGGCCTGCAAAACACTGAACGTGAAAGAGACCAGGGAAGCATTAATACAGGAGGGGGCATTGAAGGATAAATAAGGTATTGCTAAGCAGAGACTGACGGAAGAACTAAGCACCTAACATTCGAAAAGGAATGTTCCGGGGCCATGTGTGACACAGGGTGCGTGGGGATGTAAGGCCAGTAGTGTGGATTCAGATTACTGGGAAGTCAGCAACATTTTTTGTTCAATTTGCATTTTAAGATTACTGAGAAAATTGTAAACGGAAATAAACAGAAAAAAAATATATACACAGCGTCTCTTACTAAGAAGAAAGCTTTGCTCCCTACCCCAGGCTATCCCATCTCTCAAATCTCAGTTCAGAAGGACACTGCTGCACTCTGCAGAGCCGGAAAGGCTCCATGTCAGCCACATACGACAAAGCTCTTCTGAGAGTCGTGCAGACAGGAAGCACATTGGTCAATGCAAGAACAAAGGCGTTGGAAGCATAATGCGTCTTCACTTGATAACACTGCATCTGCAGATCACTGTGTGACATTCTGGAAGTTGCACACCCTCTCTGAACCTTGGTTTTCTTTTCTGTCTAATACAGGCAATAAAAGCTACCTCATAAGAAATGTTCAATGAGAGAATGTACACTGGTTAGCTATAATGTGTTATGCAAATGCTTTTCTTACTAGAATAATTTGTGTATGTGTGTGTGTGTGTGTGTGCGTGCATGCAGACGTGTGTGGGAATGACAGGGAAGAAAATATTCTGTACTATTTTACCAGAAGGTGGCAGCATTTTGTTTGTTGGGTAGATCCTTTATTAACGCTAGCGGGTATTTTCCAGAGACCTCTTCAAGCAGTCAAGGAAATGTCATGGGAAGGTATTAGGAGCTGATACCCATATTTTCCTTTTCTGTGTTTGTTTGGATTTAAACTACGGGGAGATTGATACTTAGAAAAGTTTCAAAGTCTCAGACGCTCCTTAAGGAGAAATTCCTTGTTCTGGCCCACACTTGCAGTGTGGGTCAGGGCCTCAGCCTCAGTGTGCTCCTGGCCTTTTAAAATGCGTTTTTGGGCCGGCGCCGCGGCTCAATAGGCTAATCCTCCGCCTAGCGGCGCCAGCACACCGGGTTCTAGTCCCGGTCAGGGCGCCGGATTCTGTCCCGGTTGCCCCTCTTCCAGGCCAGCCCTCTGCTGTGGCCCGGGAGTGCAGTGGAGGATGGCCCAGGTGCTTGGGCCCTGCACCCCATGGGAGACCAGGAAAAGCACCTGGCTCCTGGCTCCTGCCATCGGATCAGCGCGGTGCGCCGGCCGCAGCGCGCCGGCCGCGGCGGCCATTGGAGGGTGAACCAACGGCAAAGGAAGACCTTTCTCTCTGTCTCTCTCTCTCACTGTCCACTCTGCCTGTCAAAAAATAAAAAATAAATAAATAAATAAAATAAAATAAAATGCGTTTTTATTGTTGCCTTGCGTGTAAAGCAGCACCTTACGCTTTGGCACTGATTTTGTCCTTATCTGATTGTCTCCGTGTCTCCACATGTTCATCCGCGTCACCAGACTCCAACACAGGCACTCAGTGAGCACCTCCTGGCTGCAGAGATAATCCAGACACAATTGCAAAAATAGGCAGACCCTTTGGGATCCTCCCCTGTCTTACTGGGCAGAGCAAACATGACAGGGCATGAGAACAGTCGAGCAATAGCACAGCATTGTGAGCAAGCCAAGGTGGCCCTGAGTGAACTTTGGAGGTCCTGCAGATGCAAAAACTGGCCAGAGTTAGAAGAAGGTAGCAAGGCTTTCAGGAGGAAATACATTCCGCCTAGGATTTCAAGTCCTAAACAATCTTTCTCACCAGATAGAGCCAATGCACCCGGTTCACCATCATTCCTAAAAGTGCTCTCTGGAAGTCTATGTCTGAGGGTGCTTTGAGAAGTCCGTGGAAAATGGAACTTATAAACATGTTTATTTTGGTGAAAACAAATTTTGGAATTCATGCACAGGGTTTTCAGTTTTCTGTGAACTTTCTGAAGTTCTCTGCAAGTATGTTCTTACAATACTATTTACTTTTGAGTTTGTGAAAGTAATATTATTTCCCATTACTTCTTATAATGAGGTATGGCCATCGGGATATGTCTCAAAACTGAAGCTCCAGAGCACAGGAACTACACTATTTAAGTATCTCTGTAGTGAGTCTAATAAAACTAAATAGGTTTGTGGCAAATAACTTTATTGATAATATAATGATTTAATATCTGCCAGATCCAGCAACAGTTTTATTCATCTTTTTTAAAATTTTTTTTCAATACTCTACTCAGACAAACAAAGTGATTCCTGGAGCTGGCCTTGCTTTTCATCTTTACCTTGATGATAACACAGTATTGCTGATGCTGAGATGAAACCCAAGTCAACAGGAACCTGCAATCCAACTGATGTTTCTCATTTTATCAAATCTTGGGACAATGAAATGTTTTCAATTTTAGTAACTAATTATTGATGCAGTGGTATGAGGCACAGAGTTTACTATTGTGGGTCCCCAGTAGATTCACAGGGCATGGGCTTTGGTTTCATGGGGAAAGAGGCCAAGCCCCCTTGGGCTTCAAACAGTGACCATGGCACTTTGCAGACAGAGGGTAGGATGGTATGTGGAGCCATGAGCTTCCCCTGCAGCTCATGGAACGTACAATGGTCACTGCTACCATTTTTATTCCCAAATTTATTTTAAAATCTCCCAGATTGTGGTCTAATACCCAATTTTAGTAGCCTGCT